TGAAGGGAAGAAGCAGCATAGGAGTTGTCCAAGAATAGACAGAACCTAGGTATACAGAAATAAGAAAGCTCAATTCCAAGAGAATGAAGACCAAGCAATGATGCAGTCTTAATGGCGTACAGACCTAACCCCCACCATATAGGCTAAGCCCAAGGAGCCAGGTTATGAAATTGTGTTTCAGGCATTACGGTTCACACCACCAGATGCAAAAGCCATGTGATGCTGAACTACATGACCACACAGATATAATGGACTTGCTTTTTAAGTCCATTTAACACTACACTCAGATCTTAGCCATGGAGGCAAGAAAGCCATCAAAGTAGGCTGTCCCACAGCATTCCTGGCCACTGTAAAGCATGTGGTCCCACAGACAAGCATCCACAGCCCAGCACTGCTTCTCAGATAGGTCCCACCATTCTTGCTACTCTGAGTTCTGAAACCAGAGCACAAAATCTCCTGGACTCCTCAGCTGTGAAAGCCAGCACTGAGGGCTCTTTCAGCCAGAGGTACACAAGAAGGGCCACAGACCTTAAGCTTTTCAGGAATAACATGTATACCTTCCCACTCATTCCCAGCTAAGGACCTGTAAGGAATCCACAGAGGAACATGCCCCTCATGAAAATCCAAAACACGGCTCAGAGGAAGGAGTGATGGAGGTGCTTCTCCCGGGAGAGCTGCTTGCTTGGTGCGTATCAGCAATATCTACATCTACCGTACACCCCTACCACTGCATCAGGCGTGGCTGGGGATTCAGAAAGCTTCACTATGCACTGTATTCTGAAGATGCTTGAGAGGATAAAGATGTGCATATAAATAAAAAAATATATAGGGTATTTTATGTGCAAAATGCCACAAAAAGAGGTTTAGATTGTTTGGATCCGTTTCAGGAAAGGCCTCATGGAAGAAACATGATCTGAGATTATTCTTGAGTAGCTACAAGGAAAGTGACAGTAAAGAAGAGGCAGTAGAAGCCGGCGCCATGGCTCACACATGGAATCCTAGCACTTTGGGAGGCCAAGGTGGGTGGATTGCTGGAGTCCAGGAGTTTGAAGCCATCCTGGGCAAGATGGTGAAACCCCATCTCTACAAAAAGTACAAAAATTAGTCAGGTGCAGTGGCATGTGCCCATAGTCCCAGCTACTCAGGCAGTTGAGGTAAGAGGATTGTTTGAGCCCCAGAGGCAGAGGTTGCAGTGAGCCAAGATCACGCCACTGCACGCCAGCCTGGACGACCCCTGTCTCAAAGAAAAAAGAAGGGGCAGTATGAAGGAAGAGACATTTCAAATAAAGAAGCCAGGAGGTGGACAAGTGGGGGGCGGAGGGGTGTTCAGGAACTTGTGTGGACAAATGAGTGGAGCTATAAAGGAGAGGGGTGGAGACAAAATCCAATAAAGCTGGACCAGACCAAGCTGAACCTGGCCACACTCTGGCCTTACCCCAGTGGGCAAGGAGTAGACACTGAGGCCTCAGGATCACTTCTCCAGCAAAAGTCACTTGACAGTGGAATGAATGGACAGGAAGGGGACTTGTGGGCCTTTAGAGGCAAAATGTCAACAGGCTCAAAACCCAACAAGCTCAACAACAAGATGAGAAGAGGGGCAAGAAAAGGGTCACAGACGGTGAAACTTTCGGTTTGGTTTAAAAAATACCTGCTATATCAGGCCCTTGGCTAGATAAGGGGATAGAGGGGTATGGGCCCTGGGCCTTGCCCTCCAGGTACCTAGTGCTGGTTTAGAGATGGCTTAAAGGTGAGTGCAGCCATCAGTAGAGATCAAGGAAGGTGTGATTTGGCAGATGAAGATCCTCATTCTGGACATTTTTAATTTTAAGCAGCTCCACACGCCAGAGAACTAGGAGGTAGCATCGGGAGGGAGAGTACCGGGGACAGATTACACAGACTCAAAACTGTTCAACCATGTCAGTTTGCTTATAAGAAACTGAATGATAAAAAATAAAGCATTTTTCATCACAGTGAAGTATGATATTGTAATCATCCCCACTCTGACACTTGATACAGAGGCATTCCCCTCCTCTGTGCTAAGAAAACAAAATAAATGACATTTGCTTTCTATAAGTGGAACTGAGGAAACACTGCTACCAACTGAACTAGAAGGGATATTACTGTGGGAACTGAGTTGCACCGTTTCCATGACTTCAGCCTCCACCAGTCCCTGCAAGTCCATAAATGAAAGCTGCATAAAAACTTGAGAGTGTTTATATTTTTAAAAAATAAATAAAGAACAAAAACTATCCTTGGGAAAACTTCTGCCCCCCAAGGTAGTTTCCAAATCCCAAAACTAACTGAGTTACATCCTATCCAGAACAAAGACACATTGGGTCAATGGGAATGGCCACTTACCCAACAAAAGTAGTAATTTTACTAGGTAACTGGTAACAGGCAGAAACGTCACCTATAAAGCTGGCCCTGAATCTCACTCTAACTGCTCAACACACACCTTTCCCATGGAGCTATCAGGCAAAGAAGACCAGCAGCCTCCGGATACATGCAGCTTTCCAACTCATTGCAGACTCTGCCCTTTGATTTTACCATTCACATTAAATGAAAGGTATTTACTACAGATGAAAAATAAGCTTCATTTAGCTGCCTCTAAACCAATCCCAAAAATAGAGCAATCACTCTGGTACAAATAGGGTCAAATGTATTTAAAAAAAAAAAAAAATAGCTCCCTCATGGGAGGACCAACATGGCATGGGACCTTGCTAAAAGTTAGAAGGAAATCCACAAAGATCTTCCCTTCCCACAGTGGGAAAGGAAGTATTTAAAGAGTAAAGCAGAGTATAAACTCATCTGGCCATGTGACCATCCAAGTCAAAGTAAGACACAAAGTTGAATGCCATGAGTTTCAGAATACTATGTGAAGAGGTCAAAGGAATATACGTTGGCTTTTAGAAAGGCCTGCCAAATTAACATACTGCCAAATCCCCCTTAAAAAAAAAAATAAAGTCCAATGCTTAAGAATTGTCAAGAAAGGATTCACTGGAGAGGGGTGCAAAAGGAAGCAGGAGATTTATCCGTTTCTTGTGTTTCATTTCCTCACTTCTTAGCTGAGAAATCCAAATGGTCTGACAGCACTTACATCAGTGCCCTGAATTTCCCTGCGAAAATTTCAGAATATTAATTGGCTTACATACGCAGCTACATTAATTATTCCATTGATCTGAATTAATCTGCCTTTCTGAAAGGTATTTATTTTCTAAGTTTGTTTAATCGTGTTCTCTTGAGCTACAAAAAGCAACAATCTGGGTCACCATCCACGTCATTAAATTTGGTAAGAAGGCTAACACCATCTCCGCCTCGACTACAATAATCTATCTCCAGCGGTGGGAGGCTTCCCACCACGTCTGCTTTTTCTTTAAAACAATCATCTAGTGTCACATGACTACAAACAAATCAAAAGCTATGAAAAATGTTCAAAGTTACACAAATGATCTCTGGCATAGTAAAAATATATACTACCAGTGTTTATGTGGTTATCCAACCCCCATTTATAGTTACATTTTCAGCAACAATACCCAAAATTTTTAGAAAATTCTCTAGATATCAAACTACCAAAGCCCAAATACAAATAGGCATCACATTACATCTGAAATGTGCCACAACATTTTAAATGTAACATGAAATCCTGTACATAAATTGTTAAGGCTTATTCACAAGAGCATAATTTCACTATCTTCAGAAGCCAGCAGAGCTCTCCCACACAAGGGAGAGCCTAGTGTGTTTGCCTTTACAACGCTCGCTCAGTTAGGAACATCCAGCCCTGCTAAAATAGAGCTTCAACATGAGAAGCCAAAAACAAACGGAACCAGCTAAGAGAAGAGAAGAAAAACAATAGAGTTTCCTGTTATCCGGCATGGGCTCCCCTTCATCTACCATTCTGCATGGCTTCTGACTACAAAGAACCAATCCTTGCAAGAAGGATGCTGCAGCACCAGAAAAATCCTGAAATGGCTTCTGAATCATCAAAGAAAGATTGCAGAATGTCAGAGGTAAAAACGATCCCAACAATCTTCTTATCCAATCCTCCCAATTGCTGGTAGCCGCATGGCAATGCAGAAAGGTATGAAAAATGACCCCAAATACAACTAGTTGACAGGTGACTGTGACAAGATCCTAGTGGCAATCCAGTGCTCTTCAGTGCTTTTTTTTTTTTTTTTAAACTATATCAACCTTTCCCAAAGGAAATTCCATGGACCACCGGTTCCATGATATTAAAGTCTTTTGCCAAAAGAAAAAAAAAATGTTTAAAGAATTTATGACTGATTACTTTTAGGGACTAGCTGAGTTAAACAAAAGGAAACCTGTTTTTTAACTGCAGAACTTCCCAAAGCTTTTACTAAGCTAGCGTGCAGTATAAATCTTTAAGAAGGCAGCAAAGTATATGAAAGCATTCTGACTCATTTAACCATACAATTATTTTATCTCAGGACACTGCATAGCATGTGGGGCATTTCACAGGACATGGAGTAGAAACTTTAATACCATATCATGTATTAAATGATATATATTATTCTCCAAATTATGCTCTATGTAAATTTATTAGTTTTGTTGTATTCTACTTCTCTAAAAATAGTTCATGTACAAAGTCTATGATAATTATCTACTTACCAGAGCAACTGACCAAAGTACCCACCACTCCCAAGAACACTAGACTTAACAAAAACAAAAACAAAAACAACTAACATTATCAGGAAAAGAATGGTAGCAAAAGCTCATGTGGAGAGAAAATCTGCTACAAATCTCTTCCATAACAATCCCATATCTATTTATAAAAGATTCATGACTTTAAATACTTTCATTCAGTATAAATTTGAGAATACAGGTTAAAACAAACAAACAGAAAAACCACTGTTGCAAAGCTCCAAGAAACACCACATGCATGGCTGTAAACTTCAACCACCCAGAAGGCAAGCTGCCAGTTTAAGTATAGAAGCAAATGATAACCATATACCAGGACCAGCAGGAACTCTCAGGACACTTACCAAGTTATGGTTTGTTGAATTAGAATCATCTTCAGGGAATGGGATGTAAATAGCTAAGGCCACACAATTGGCAAAAATAGCCAATAATATAAATATGTCAAATGGTCTGAAAAATCTTGTTAAGGTATATATGGTTATGGAAACACAAACCATGTCCCTCATCACACTCCCGCTCACACCACTTGCGAAGCACCTTTAAAATGAAAATGGCATACACAAATCATATTTCGGCTGACTGCTGAAACTGCTAGGTTTTCAGCAGAAGTAATCGTCAGTGGTCATCTCACAGTGGAGCCTCCTATCAAATGACCTCTCCTATCAAACATCCTTTCCTTCTGTTGCAAGGATCATGTTACACTCATTCTTCTGCTGCACACTGTCTACTGAAACCTAAAAGTACATCCAATTAGGGCACTGTGTGAACCAGGTTTCTGCTTCTTACGGGTTTAAAAGTGACAAGGGTCTTACTAAGTTCCCGGCTGTTGTAGACACAGGGAAGTCATCATGGGGTAAATCTCTTCCGCAGAGCCTTGCCTCCATGTGTTAGAGCCATTTTCTCAGGGGCTCTTCTTGGCAGGGTCAGCCTAAATCGCCTGTCTGGATTGGGCCAGGCCAAGTCACCAGGACCTTCTCCGTTCTACCTGTGACTTTCTCATGGCATGTTCCAATACCTCAGACGTGATCCGCAGCGAGCCAGGCTTCAGCTCCTGCCTCTGCTTTCTCTGCTAAAGGAATCGATGGCTATAACTGCTTCAGATTAGAGCTGGACTGGAGCTCAGTTTATAATATGCTGTTACCGTGCTCAATTTGTAAACAAGTTAAATTAAAAAGCCATAAGAAATCAGCACCAGACACATTAAAAGTAGGGTTTAACAATTCTCAATCTCGGTGGTCTATCTGGAAGAATCACTGTGAGATCAGCCTTCAAGAAATACTTGCCTAAACATTCTGGTGTTATTAAGAGACATTGTCAAAACTGGCAATACAAAATTTGACATCTGCCAAAATGACTGTTTTTCTTCTTTGGGTTTTCAGCCTTTCCAAATGCAAGGTTTCACGAGCACCAGCCTCATCTGCAATTCCTAGGCTTGATTTTACGACAGTGCTTCGCCTATAGACACTTACCCACATGAGGCAAGGCCATGGTTTAAATACCTCAACATACATAAAACTGGAGGATACAAACCGAACTATCCTCCATTTGTTCTGACATTCTTTTGGAAAATCCAAAAATGCTGCAGAAAACAAATACCCCTTACCTCTCTAGAGATATCTTTTTTTTTTTTTTTTTTTTTGAAATGGGGTCTCACTGTCACTGAGGCCGGAGTACACTGATGCAATCTCAGCTTGCTGCAACCTCCGCCTCCCAGGCTCAAGTCATCCTCCCACTGCAGCCTCCCAAGTAGCTGGGACTACAGGCATGTGCTACCAGGCCAGCTAATTTTTTTTTTTAGTAGAGATAGGGGTTTTGTCATGTTGCCCAAGCTGGTCTTAAACTCCTGGACTCAAACAATCTGCTCACCTTAACCTCCCAAAATGCTGGAATTACAGGCATGAGCCACCGTGCCCAGCCTCTGCAGAGATCTTGAGTTTCATAAAACCTCCATCCTCAAAGAGCTTTGATAACTCATCGAAAAAAGGCAATGAATAACATTATTCCCTTAATAATTTGGATTTTTTTTTTTAAGCCAATCAGCTTTAATTCACACTGGTTCTCTTAACTCATCTAATATTATAAAATCTTTTTCACCCAGGGATCCAACTTTCAGACAAGCCCACCTCAGGAAGACTTCAGAATTCCCTTTCCATTTTTCCTTTTCATGGGTCCCCACTGAAATCTAAAAAGACAAGGGCCCCAATGTTGCTCTCTATAGAAACACAATAGTCTCTTCCCTCCCTCACACTACCATTCTTCCTTTTCAATTTTCTAATCCCTAAATGATAAACCAGCACCTCTGAGAAATGCTAACACTGTTCAGGAGAACTAAACATAAGTTGTATTTTTACTTTATGTTGGTCCAGTTTCAGTCTCCAGGTACAAGTGATACCATCTCACTGCCATAAGATTTTCACAAGTGAAGCAGAACAGAGCAATAGAAAAATAGATGGGTCTGATCTTAACAATTCCTTCTGATAAGGAGAATATCCCTCACTCCCTCAGGGGGCAGGACACTGTCATGCTTGTCTGTAAAAGCAAAGGACCCTGGCTCTCCCACTGCGGACTGGGCCTGACAGAGCTGGCTGGGGTGGAAAGGATTTCTATAGCCTGCTCCCTAAATTAGAAGGAAACTGTCATTTAAAAAAAAATTATATATTGCTTAAGGATCTATCTATTTTACAAACTATCCCATTTGTAAACAGGCTTCTCCCTGAATTGGCAGCCACATCCCCTAACTCCTGTACACATGTGTCTGGCAACTGAAAGAAGGGAGACGGCAGCGTGATCCAGGAATTCACTCTATACGCAAAAACTGCTATGTACACATTACTGTGCACAAAGAGAAACAGCATCAGGCCTCCCACCTATTCCACACAAAATTAGTGACCCCACAAGGAGATCTCTGCTTACTCAGAGTCATGTCAAGCCAATCCAAGGAGGAGAAGATCTTCCTGGCAAGGTACAGCCACTGCCATGACTCCAGCAATGCCACTGGGCCACATGCTGGCTTACTGAGCTCCCTCCTGGCTCCCAGACTAGAGAACTTCAAGAGAAAATGCACACACACAACCCCACCTATGTGAGAGACACTATAACTCACTCTAGAGAAGGGACATCTGTTGCAAAATGCAAAAGCACATGAGAACCCCTCGAACCCTACCCTAGCATTTGGCTGCTCTCTCCAAAACCTTTCTAGACAGTTACCTCATCTTAACTCCTGTCCACGAGCAGAGAAAACAGCCAGCTAAGACAGAGAGCATGCAAATAGCTGCCAAGCTTGATTCTCAAATTATAAGGGGATTTCAGCTCCACTTTCTAGCTGGTTGCCAACATCTTCCCCTTTTGGCATGGCCCCTCCATCCTTCTGGGCCTGGTGGGGGGAATTCCTATATTCACACCCCTTCCTATAGTTAGGAATTGCTCTAAGGCCCCTGTCAGTTCCAAACACACTTCTGGGGAAAGGAAATGCTTTATGTTACCCAGACCAATGAATCATCTGCCTAATTAAAAAGCCATTTGCTCAGAAAGAAGGCCTCAGTCAATCTTCTCTGAAGAGGGTGGCCTCCAGATTTGGGCAGGGGTTAAGCAGGCTGAAGCACAATCGTTTCCCAAGATCTTGGACATGACAACCATTCTGGGGCATTCGGAGTTCAATTTTAAAAATACAAAGGAGACACCCAGATATGTAAGTCCAGCTCAAGGACATAGACAGGATTTTTTATAAAGGCAGCAACTGCAAATTCCTCCACTGAGAGGGCTGTTCTATAACTCATAAGGGCTCAGGAAGAAGAGGCACACACCAACCTCTCCCTTCCCTGGCTCCCTCATGCTCACGTTTCAAATGCTTTCTTAGAACTTGTCAAAAGGAAATTCCAGGAAATTATAGCATTGATCAGAAAAAAAAAAAAATCAAAAGTAATCTCTCCCTAGGAAGCACATGTTCATATCTGTAGCTACCTGAATAATTAGAATCGCCAAATGTCAGACTAGAGGCAACCTTAGCATTAATTGTAGTTGCAGAAGCAAATTTCGAACATCAGAATGAGAAGATTCTACTAAAGGTCAAAAACGTATTCCCTTCCAGTAGAGTCTCATACAGTCTTTTTTTTTTTTTTTTTTTTCTAATCTGTATGCCTTATTTGCAATAGGTTCAATGCATGGTATTGCCCCAAAACAACACAGAATTTAAAACTAACCATCTAATGTCCAACGACCAAAGGTTGGTTTCCCATTTTAATTATCTACCACTGTGAAGTTTCAGGCTGTCGTTCCCTCCCCCCACTACACTACACACACACCCAGACAGTGGGCTAAATATACCCGTACAGCCACCCCTCTGCAACCCGAGGAGACAGGAAGGTATATACAATGAAACCCCTTATATACAACTTCTGTTGCTCGCATTCCAGACTGCTACAGCTTTGTGTCATTTCAGAAAGCAAATCCTTTTAAAAAAACAGATGGTAAAAGAGAAAACGAGAAAGACTACCCCCCAAAAAAGGATACTTCCATTCCACTATACTAATGCAGGCTCTTCGGATGGGGTTATTGAGTGATAAACAGAAAAGGGCGCGGGCAGGTCGGCTGTTGGACGAGTTACCCTGTTTTTTGCTCTTGGCGTATTGCTGACGTTTTCTTTGGGAGAGAGATCCTACAGGTGGGGGTGCGGAGGTGCTCATAGTTTGGGCAGCCTTGGCCTGTCTAGCAGCATCGATTGCAGCTTGCCAAGACAGGACAGTTTGCTTGGAGCTATTCGGCTGAGAAGTTGGTCCTTCACCAGAAAGAGGGAGTCTGGTGCCTCTTGCATAGTTTGCCTCTGGGGAGAAGGAGAGAAACAAAGATTTTTTTTTAAATGAGGATCCAATGTGTAGGAGAAAAAAATCAAAGGTTGTCTCCCATCAATAACCAGGGTAATCATTCATGCCTATGTTTCCAGTTTGAATCTCATGTCCTATTTTTCACAAGCTGGGGTTTAGTCAGCTAGAGAGGCAAGAAAGTCCACGAGCTCTGGTCTCAGTGTCAATCACACAGGATCACTGCTGCATCACAGCCAGCAGAGTTAGTACTCCTTCATATCGTCTTCACAAAGGGTCTTTTAGCGCCTTTCTTCTGACAAAACTGAGGTCATTCGCACGTTTAATCCACATCTCTGATTTTTAAAACCCATGTATCTCTAATGAGTTAACAGATAGGTACAACAGCTTTTCTCTAACATAACTACCACTAGCACCAAGAAAAAAAAAGGCAGCACCAATAATTCAATAGTCTTAATCATTTTCAGGGTGTTACTCCAACATCTTTCCACAGCCACAAATGCATTTTTTTTCAGTACGGGGTGGAGGGGGGGATCTTCCACAGGCACCCAGGCAATACCAAAAACCCCATAACAAATATCTAGATTATGCACTGACACTTCCTGCAAATGAAAATTCATGATGCTTGGGACTCATTTCCTCCACAGGCTTCCGAAAACAGAAAACATCTTTAGGGCTTTTTTGCATTTTAAATTGCAGCAGCATCAGCCAAGCCAGCATCCAGAGAGACAGGCAAGGCAGTCAGCCTGCACCCCTACACCTAGGATAGACTGGCTGGATTATGCCAGGGGCCTCCAGGCCTAAGAGGGAATTATCTCCATGTAGGCTAGCATCCAGGTGCACACAAGGCAGAAACCCAACGAGGCTCCCTATGCAAAGCCCCCACCAGCTTTGGGTCAGGCCACCTCCCAGGCAGATCTCCCAGGCACCTGCCGCCTTCTGCCAGTCTCCTCACTGAAGCAGACGTCAAAGTGAGAGAGGTGGCAGAAAGGTAGAGAATGGGCGTTTGCAAAACCAATTACTGCTAAGTGAAGAGTCAAAGCAAGCATCAGTCTGAAAGCCTGAGAAGGAGGCAAAGCGGCCGAGCAGCGGGCAATCGGAACGGGGGACAAGTCGTGCCAAGCTTCTCCCTAGGGGAGCGCTCACCCGGAAAGGCTTCCAGCCGACCGGGGTTGGGGGGCACTGGCGGTCTCTAAAGGGGAGGGCTGGCCAGGAGCTGCTCCATCCTCCCTCGACCCAGCCCCGGCCGGCGTGGAAGCTGCACGTGGTGCCAGGGCCAGGGCTGGGGAGGGGAGCCCCACAGCGGCAGCAGCTCCCCGGGCATTGCTAGGTTACCGACGTGTGCACAGCCAGCGACGGAGCGGGAATGCACGCTCAACCCGAGCCCCTTCCCCCGATGACACCGAGGCCAGGCCTCCCCCGAGAGGGGAGGGGTGTACTTCACCCACCGGCGCGGAGGGCGAAACCGGGCAATCCTAGAATTTTCCGGATGCCACTAGGGACCTTCTTCCTAGTCAACGAGGGGGCGGGGGAGGAGGGGAAAGGCGAGGAGGAGGCTGGCAAGGGGGCTCCGGCTGAAGACTCGCGGCCCCCTGCCAACCCCCCGGGGGCGCAGAAGGAAAGTTGAGCCCGAGGACACTGAACCCGAATCACCCCGACTCGCTGCCCCTCCGGCTGCACAGTGCTCCACACACTCCACGGCCGCCCCCACCCCACAAATGCAGAATTAACTCTGACATTCAGGGCCTGGAGGGGAGCGCGGAGTGGCAGTCACGCATGTCCCTCTCTGAGTAGACGACACCGAGCTGGCAGCACCCTCTCCAACGCCCTCAACCCACCCAGCCCCGCGGGGAAGGGGGAGGGGGCTGGAAGACCGTGACAGGATCCGATTTGGCAGCGGGTGCCGGGGCTCTGGCTGCTCACCGTTCGCGTGGTCCGCTTGCTGCTGCCGTTGATGCTGCATTTTTTTCATCATCATCATCATCATCATCCACGAACATTTATTGAGCGACTACTGTGTGCAGGGCACTGTGCTGGGCGTTGGGCGGGGGCGGAATGGGTAAGGGGATCACCAATAGGTAGGAGCCGCGGTCCCTGCCCTTATTCTTGCTTCAGCAGGGGGTGGGGAGGGATGAGGACAAATAACAGAAAATAAGGATAATTGATTAAAAAAAAAAAAAACCGCTCGCCGCCCAAGCTCTTTTCCAAAAATGGAGCAAAATAAACTTTTTAAAAAAATAAAATCCGATGTATATATTATCTTAATAATATATACATGTAATTTTTTGCTGCAAAGGAGAACTGGCTTGTCCCCTCCTCTAGCGGAGAGACGCCGCGGTAATGCCGGCCCGGCCGCCGGGGCTGCTCGGCGCGCCCCCCATGCCCACCCGTCCGCCCGCCCGCCGCGGTGCCCGGTGCCCGCCGCCGCCGCCCGCGCCGCCGCTGGCTCGGGACCGCGGGCAGCCGGAGCTCACATCCGGGGACGGAGGCGCCCGCCCGCCCGCTCGCTCCGCGCCCGCCGCGCCGCGCCGCACGCCGACTTCGCCCTGGCGACGCTGCGCGCCCGTCGCCGTCCCCCGCCCCCCGCCCGCCCCGAGCCTCCCACGGCCCGCGCCGCGCCCCGGAGCGTCGGCCGCCCGGCGCGGGGATCTGCCCGGAACCGCCTGCGCGCTTGGAGTGGCCTCCGCGTGGGACTCGGGGTGCCTCCACCCCGGCCTGGCCCGGCTGACCTGCGGGCGCCAAAGGGTTAAGCGCGCTCCAGCAGCGGGCTACCCGGTTAACCCCCTCCGCGCCGCACGGTGCGCTCAAACCCGTGGCCCCGGAGGAGGCGGGCGGTGCCAGTGGCTCCCGCGGCGCTGGGGTGCGGATGAAGCGCTCCTTCCGGCGCATTTCTGGGCTGGGGAACCGCTGGAGCTCCCGCGCGCGCCGGGGCTCCGCGCTGCCCTCCCTCTGCGCACACCTGGAGGAGGCCCCGCCCCCTGGGAGCACAGGTGCTAGCGGGCCATAGCGGCTGTGGTCTCCCTGCGCACCCTCTTCAAGGCTCGCCCGGGCTCCCCGCAGCTCCGGAGCCGGGCAGTCGCTCTCTCCTTTCCTAGGGTCCTGGACGCGCGGGTATGGGGGAGCCTGGCTCTACTCTGTAGAGAGCACTCACTGCCCCAGGTAACTGCCTGCAGCTGGAACAGCCAATCCAGGGTGCCCCCCTTCTTCTCCCCAGCCCAGTGCCCGGCCTGGCGTCGCAGAGGGCCACGGGGTTGGGGGGGCGGCAATATCACCCCTACCCTACCCCACCCCGCCCCCTTGTGTGTTTGGAGGCAGGTACAGGGAAGTCAAAGCCAAGGTCTTTCAAACCGCTCGTGTTACTCAAGGAAATAGACAGTGCTGCTGAAACTGTTGTCTCCAGTCTGGGAGCTGAAGGGGGTAGTTGTTTTTTGATACCTTCGCTGGCTCGGATTTAGGGTGGGGAGGTTTGCAAACGGCAGCTCCTGTCTAGGGGGGAAAATACTTTATCCAGTGGATGCCTGGTATTTTTTATTTAGCTTTCTGCTGGCTGTTAGGAGAAGGGCGTCTGCTTTATTACTTCACAGGATTCGATTTATTTGCTTTTGTTCCGATCTGCATGTTCCTACGGTGTTTTAGAACGTTTCAGAACAGTGGCTTTAGAGCAAAAATAAAGTAAAAGCTCAGCGTGAATTAAGAAAAATAAGTGTTTATGGGAAGGTGCTGTTTGCCCACAGACGACACACTAGTCATCCTCAATTGTTGGGGGGGCACATGGGCAGAGAGACTGGGGACCAGACACAAGACTCTCCAGGGGCCTTCCTCAGGGGGTGTCTGGTCCGTGAGGATGAAAACAACCAGACTTGTCCTTTTTTGTGTGCTTTGTTTTTGGAGACTGGAGAGGCGAGGAATTGCCTGTGCTCTAGTAACAATACAAAGCTGGCCTGAGCTACCGCTCCTACGGATGCTTCTGATCCAAAATCGGAAGGGATAGAAGACGGCTCCCTCCAAAGAAACGGCCCATCCATGGGGCATATATGAAATTCACAAGCAGATGTGTCACTTTCAGAATTCCTGGTCTAAAGCCTTGCCTCTTGAGGCCTTTTCTACAAAATCCCACGAGCAAGTTTGTTTTATGATATCTTCGCTGGCTCAGATTTAGGGTGGGGGAGGTTTGCAAACAGCAGCTCCTGTCTAGAGAGAAAAATACTGTATCTAGTGGATGAGGGAGCAGAACCATATTTGCTTATGGTTCGCTTCAGTGCAGCCAGCATTCATAAAGCACCAGTTAAGAACAAGGGTCTCTGCTAGATGTCAGGACAAATCTGTGGCATAGTTCCTTCCTCAAGGACAATCTAATGATGGAAGAAAACTTACCAAGTTTATGGAATTCCAGGAGGGCTTTGTTGGTTTTTTTTTAATTTATTTTTAGAAACAGGGTCTTACCATACATGAGGCCAAAAAACATATGAAAAAATGCTCATCATCAGTGGTCATCAGAGAAATGCAAATCAAAACTACATTGAGATACCATCTCACGCCAGTTAGAATGGCGATCATTAAAAAATCTAGAGACAACAGATGCTGGAGAGGATGTGGAGAAATAGGAACACTTTTACACTGTTGGTGGGAGTGTAAATTAGTTCAAACGTTGTGGAAGACAGTGTGGCAATTCCTCAAGGAACTAGAAATAGAAATTCCCTTTGACCCAGCAATCCTATTACTGGGTATATATCCAAAGGATTATAAATTGTTCTACTATAAGGACATGGGCACACGAATGTTCATTGCACGACTGTTTACAATAGCAAAGACCTGGAACCAACCCAAATGCCCATCGATGATAGACTGGACAGAGAAAATGTGGCACATATACACCATGGAATATTATGTAGCCATCAAAAACGATGAGTTTGCCGGGCGCGGTGGCTCAAGCCTGTAATCCCAGCACTTTGGGAGGCCGAGGCGGGTGGATCACGAGGTCAAGAGATCAAGACCAT